GGCAGGGGGAGGGGGAGGGGGACGATGCTTCCGCCGATCGAGTTGTTACGAGGAGTGTCTTACGAGGAGGAGGGGGAGCGGAACGCGAGATAAACGCGATTTCGCGACACCGTTGCGAGGATTAACTTTCCTTGACGCAGTGGAGCACAACTTCTGTCCGAAAGTTTTTGGTAAACTGCCAATTTTTATGATTTATCGTTGTCGAGGGACGATTACACCGCTCCTTGTTGGATGATGGCTAGATATCTTGGATATCGGAACATTTTCAAAATCAAAAGAGAATCTAGGGAACTTTGATCAACTTTATCGATCGAATTTATTAATTTCTTTGCTGCAGAGAATGGCGGGGGAAATATTTTTTATCTTCGTTTCTTTCTGCGAAATCAATCTTTTTTTCCGAGTTTTGGAAATTCGATCGTTGCATTTCTTCCTTGTTTCCCGTGTTATTAATTTACGACACGGCTTATTACTCGAGCGCAGGCGTGCTACGTTATTACGCGACGCGTCACGATGGGTGTTGCGTCGAATGGGGGAATTAAACTCGTCGGATTCTCTTTCGAAGGGCGGAACGAACGAACGTCATAACGAAACGGGACTTTGCGCGAGAATTCCGATCTCCCTTCTAATTTCCTCGAAAATAAAATTCGATTACGCGGATCGATCGATCGATCTCTCTCCGCCTTGTCGATTGCGAAACAATGCTTGCCAACGTTGAAGCTATATTTCGAGTTTTCGAGCTAATGGAAAAAGATCGTTGTAATCGCCAGGTCACGTTACATTCGTTTCGTGATAATTTTCCCTCGAAACGTAATTAACGTATTAATTTATGTTGATTATTGCGAAGCGGATTGACTCGCGAGAGAGGGCGAAGGTTTTTCATGAAATTTCGAGATTCTCTGTTTGCTCTGTTTAGTTATCCGGATTCGTGTTTCAATTTTTCATTTTCGAAATAGAAAAAAAGAAAGAGGGAATAAAATAAAATAAAATGGGCAATAAGAATGGAAAAGAAAGGGAGAGCGTAAAAAAACGTAACGTAACGCG